CTTGGGGCAAATTATTCTGCGGAGAGCCGGTAGATTATGACGAAAATCATTTTTTAAGGGTCGCTTCAGCGATATTGCCTCGCGTGAAGTACAGGGTGTTCCAGTAACCATGGTACATTTGGTAAAGCAGCGGTTCTACGTGAGAAAACAAATTTAAAATGTAAAATAAAGTTTTCTCGTCCAAAGTCACGTTTTCATCTACTTGAAAACTGAACGCCCTATGAAAAACTTTTATTCTAACTTTTGGTTTATCTTAACACGTAGAACAAGCTCCTGTAAATTATTTAGCTCTCTCCAGTTCAGAATTGGCCAGATTTAAGTATATTTGACAAATTTTCAAATTTCATTTTCTTGGAAATAGAGCGTCCCATGAAAAAGTGTTATTCTACATTTTCGACTTATTTCCATACGTAAAATAACTTCTTGTCAATTATTTATTTCTATTCTATATTATCGACTTATTGTTTCACGCAGAATTTCCGCCTCAACGTTTGCGCCATGATTATGGAGCACCCTGTACAGGTGCACGCTGCTGGAACGTTCTTTAATGAAACGTAAAACCGAGGCTTTAAGGTAGACGTTCTTATTAGATAAGACACGATACCTTAACCTTTGAGCGCTTAAATTTAAGGTTCTACGACGTCGGATACTGTAAAATTCGCTTTCAACTAATTGCTGACCTACGTGCTCTAGGAAAAATTATTTCACTGTTTTTATCTCGGAATGAGTTCTAAAGAGATTATAAATTTTTCTTGACCTGTTTACCAGAAGTTTGTTTCCTGTTCCTAGCCAAGGACAAGCTTGGTCAGCGAAACGAGTTCGAAGGAACAGATAAACTCTGATCGAGTTGCATTCAAGAGCTGATTCGATAATTTGGAAAGCAAGGGATACAGAAGTGCTTTTTTGGGAGTGAACTTGAAGTAGGACTCAAAATGAAATATACCTTCTATCTTTCGATTTAAAGCTAAAAAAATATATTACTTTGAGATGAAATGTGGTGTAGCTTATCAAAAATGAAAGTAACTTTTATGAGCAGATATACATTTAGCAAACTGTCGGTAAAGACAGAAACTATTACCGATAATCGTCAATCGATAAAAATGCGTTAGAGATATTGGTAAAGTAGGTTACTAAATCGATCGATATATGTATCAACGGAGATCATCATTGAGGAAACATACTATCACTGCCATCTCTTCATCTTTTATGGTACTTGACCGTAGAAGAATTTAGAATACAATAAAACTATAACTTAAATAATCTTTATGATTATTTCTATTCAGCTTTATAATAAAACGAAAAAGTAATTTAAAAGATGTTCGTTGATTTATAAAAGACAATTAATATAACATTTTATTAGAATAATAAAATTTAATTTAGGTGTTGAATTAATCAATAATAAACAGTAATTGAAATGCTGTTTGATAATGATATAATTTCAAACTTTGTAAGAAAGATCAGAATTACTTAATATATTTGAAAATATAAAATTAGATACGCTCTAATTAATTACTCAACTAATACTTACCTTACGATTATGTTCTTCCAAGTCTCTTTGTAAAAATTGCTGTATCACGTTATTAAAAATCCGAAACACATGTTATAACTTCTAATTGATTCCTGACATTTGAATGCCTAACCCTAAATGTGTTAACACCTCACTGTGTTAAGTGGCGTTCTCTACCGGTTGATATTGTAAAATAAAGCTATATCATAAACGAGGCATATAATACACTTAGCACTCAATGTATCTTTCTATCCATGTCATTTTGCGAGAGAAACGATACGCAAAAAGTGAAAGAAAAGTTATTCTATCGTGAATTGTGATGGACGTTTGAATTTTAATCTGGAAGTAATTACAAATCTTGTTAAATATATAGCTTAGTGATTAATTAATTAAGTATATAGCTTAGCCTAGTTTTGTTAAGTATATAGCTTCTCCAATTTTGACTATTTAATTTTATTCTTTTAGTTAAAAGTTTTATTAAATCACTAATATAAAAAATCGATCAGCGAAAATTAAGAATATTTTACCATTTTATTGAAAAAGGATAGAATTTTCATTTATTTTCATTGGATTCATTGAATGCTCAAAATTTACCAAAACAGATTCATTTAAGTTAAGTTCCAATACATTTATTTAAACATGTTTGGATAAACGGAAGTAAAAGTTCTGAAAATGACCAAAATATAACTAATCTTTTTGGTAAATTTTGAACACTAAGTGGATTAAACTGTAAAGATAGAATTTAGAAAATGCTTTATTATCTTTCCAAAAACGAAGTTACTAAATCATTAAAATAATTTTCAAAGTGATTCGGTACTTGAGAGCTCTTTCATGAATTGAAATAAATTCAGAATTCTCAATTTGATGCATCCACCTATATCTGAAGTGATTCAAATTTTGGCGCCATTACAACCAACAAGCCTCCAATCATTTCAAAGCATTTAACTGCTTGTAGTCGTTATACGACCGCGCACGCGAGAGTTCCGTGTTGAGTGTGATAAAATTCGTGTGATTTTTCGTAAAAAGTTGAAAAATATGCGTGATTGAAAAGGAGCGATTTGTAGAAAGTGTTAGCGATATGGAGAAGTCTTGGACTCTGAAGAAAGTAAAAGGGATAGCTTGGATGGAATTGCCGCCATGAAGAACATCATTGCGCAGTATGAATACGTCAAGAATTACATGTGAATATGATGGTAAGTACCTTCCAATTTTCTTGATTATTTATAATTAAATGTTCGTGTTGATCATTTACGAATGTAACTCCAAATATAAAAGATTATTTAAATGCATACATATTATGAAAAATATTGAGGTAACATAAGTATACAATTTAAGGTTAGACAATTCATATTGTATAGCGTTATGAGGCGCGAAAATTTTATTTGAATTGAATGAATAAAACTATATGATTATTTGTGGATTATAATATAAATTGATAAACATTCAGTGTAAATAAATTATTTAATTCTATAATTAGATTTAGATATACGTATAAGAAATTTATTGCATCATTGAGTCATTTGAGTTATTAAGAGCCATTATCAAATGCTATCAAAGTAACAATGTTTGCAATTGTCAAATATGGATTTGAATTTTTGAACTTTTTATTTTTATATATTATGTAATACTGTACAAAAAAGGTTATGTAAAATTTTTAAGTAAATATATATGTTATTTAGAATTATTAAAGTAATAAGTAGGCATAGAAATAAGTCTCAGTTACTATTGAAATAGGAAACATATGTATTTATGTGACATTGTAATGAATACGATTTAAGATTTTTAAAGAAATTTTCTTGAATCTTTAATATAGTAATCAATACTTTGTTTTCTATAATTAATGTATGAATACCATTTCATGCAAATGTTCCAACATTTAATTGGATATTCGTTATTGCGAAAAATGAAAAAGAAAATGCAGTAAAAGAAGAAAATAAGGATATCTCAAACATTCTACATAAAAGAAAAGATTCATTAACCTAAGTAACTCTGTTAGAATTCAAACTGTATTTCTCTCCAGTGCAAGTATCGCGCATCCTAATTATTCTTCATTATTTCATTCTACTCAAACCAGAAGCTCAAAGAACACAGAGCATTCTTAACAAAGATATCTGTTTAGTTCAGCAATTGAAATATACATAAGATTAGTATCTCAAGCTAATCCTGTATCCTCTGGCGACAGAAAATATAAGCAGACCATCATATTTATAACATCATATAGCATTTACAGTCTAATTAATTAAGTCTAGGTGTATTAAATTACATGTTCTTTAGTAGTACTTTCATATGACTACTAAAATTTGATACTATGAAAATGAAATGTGTAGAAGCTGATAAAAGAAAACATTTCATTGGAACAATACCTTTTGTAGGCACTGTACAATTTGTCTGTGGAATAATTCACAAAGATATTTAGATTTTTGCTTGTTCTCATTAAAGTCCCATAGGGGATTTCCCAACATTGGGTACTCTGATCTATAAAAAAACAATGTCTTACTTTCTATCAATACTTTGCAATATTCTTAAGGAACTGGAAATCTTGATTCGTTAACTCATACTCATAGAAGAATATAGAATGTTCCATTAATCACAAGTAGACTGCTATTTACCAGCTGTTAAATAACTTTCAAGGAAACACTTTCTCCGATGAGATTGTAGACTTTAAATGATTGTACATAAAAATCTAACGAACCAAAACTGAATTCTCCAAAGAATATTACTCAGGATTCAGAACAAAATAAAAATATATTCTCTTTTGTAGATTAAGATACGTCTAATAGGGGATCTTCTGCAGAATTTCTAATAGAAGATTTCTAATTTAATTGGTGCAAGGAGTTTTATCAGACCTGTCTCAGTGAAGCTCAATGAAAGCAAATAGGAAGTTGAATACCAAAGCAACCTAAGACTCTGACCAGACAGAATCAACGTGGTCGAACGACGAGAGCCGGTTAAAGAAGTGTGTTCTGATGAATGAACGAATGGATAAATGTCAGAGCGCCGGTAGGGGCGGTAAAAGAAGAGACGGACTTGCGCCCCTGCAGGTCCGAAGTCTGTTGGAGGGGGCGAAGAGGATGTAGGATGTAGAAGGGTGAGGGGTCGTTGGGTTAATTGCACCGCATCACAGAACGTAGTATTTCGTAGTACGTGATGGTGGGGATGTAATGCGTCCTCGATCGTCCTCGTCCTCGTCGACGGCGTCGTCGTCGCCGTCGTTATTCGTATGTAAGCTGCACGCTCGCCTGGATCGACGTATGCGTATCAGGGCCGTATCCACACAGGTGTTCCGTTCGAAAAGGATTACTAAAGGAAATATTCAATTTTCTATTCAACTTTGGTGTAACCTCGTTACTTTAAGTCTCTACTAGTATAGTGATTATAAAATTAATTTCAAAACAACTTTATTTCTTCTTTTTTGATATAAAAGAAAGTTACTTGAATCTTCTATTGATGAGTAGTGGCATAATAATTTGTATAAAAATTGTATTTCTGCAACAGTGTCAATTGAGGGTTAATAATGTTATTACGCTAGAATTACCAGATCAAAATAACTTGAATCAGGTTTTTTATTTTTCCAATAGAGCACTATAAGGGAGGAACATAAGTTACATTCTCTGTCTTTTACAGAGAAACAGTTTTAAGATTCTGCATATTGTTAATCAATCCCATATTATCAAAAATGTGTTTCTACTATAATTTTCAATTAGTAGAAATAGATAAATATTTTTGGTGTTATTAATATTTTAGTTTTATTCGGATAGAAACACTTATTTTGGATATATTACATTAAATCCAATTAACTATCTGGAACATATCAAAGAGCTTGTTAGTTTTGGTGTTAATAAGAAAATTAATTCAAAGTAAATAGATAGGAAAGAATATATCTAATGGATAAAATAGACTAATTAGAGATGGCTTCATAATAATTGAAACTTGATGAAATTCTATTTATATATTAGAATTTATGTCTTTTCACTTTTCTTCAGATGACGATAATAAGGTGTTAATGGATTTGGAAGTTTTAGGGTATACCAAGGAGTGAGAATTTCTGAAAATATCGAAAGACTTAATCTGACGAATCCACGGGCAATTTAATCGCGTATAAAGTTTAAAATAACTTCTATACTTGAGTGTCTTGGAGATTTCTGAAGGAACCTGTAATCTCGATGAATTTAAGGAGCAGGCAATTTTCGCGAAGCTATTTCTGCTCTTGAGGGAAGCACAACTTTTGCTCCATTTCGTCAGTCTTAAACACACACTTATAGAAATTGTTTTATTTCTTTCTTAGTTAATTTATATAGATTAATTTAAATAATTTGTTTTAGAACATTTGAAGATTACAAGGGAAAACACATGTCTTCATCGTATCATGGTAATGCTATAATTTCATTGATCTTGATGTTATTCAGTGATTAAAAAGATATACTTTGATATAACATAGTTAAAGATAGAAAAAAACCATTTAGTTTAAAGGTGTGACTGATTAAAAATACCAAGTCCATAAAGATTTATGAAAAAATTAATTTACCATAATACTTTTAAGGAATCAATGTATTTGATGATCTCACTCATAATGAATTTTAATAAAAAGACAAATTTGGTAATATACGAGAATTGTTAACAAGATATGAGGTATTAAAATTGCTCTCATATGAAAAACAAAAAGTATGACTTATCGCAGCTTTCCCCTGTAGTTTTCTTTTATTAGAGGTGTCGCGTTTAGGAGATGAATTTAACAGTGCCATATCAAACATTGGCGGAGCCCCGAGTCGTCAAATGGACGATAATACGAACCAATCGGCAGGACGCACTTGATGAACGTAATAATCGATCGGTTGAGACGTTTGACACACTTTTCCAGCCAGATAACGATTAATTTTCGTCGATGTAAATCTATACTAAGTGATGTGGCGAAGGCGTTTTCGCGGAAATGGCACAGGTGCACTGAAACTGTGCATTGTAATAAATAATCGATACCATTCATTGTCTCTGATGTAGCTGTGGTTTAGATTAGAGAAGTACCTTTTCAACATATTTGGATCCTAGGGGGAAATATCTTCTTCTTTGATATTTTCTACGGTACATTCAAGTGAGTCGGTTAATAATTTCCAAGCAAAAATTATTTCAAAGTACCAAGATACTCGGAAAGAAAAATTCATTCTGAATGCTAACAATTTCAAACCAAAAGCCACGCTAAAGCTTCAAAATACTTTAAATTTCAAAAGATCCAATATATTATATTATATATAGACAAATTGAAAATTTGCATAATTTTATGTACAATCAGGGCGAAGAGGAGAATTGATACGGTGTTGGTAGCTCGTGTGCGTGACGTGGAAAGCACACGCGAGCACACGCTCACGCTGCTCGCGTGTCAACTACCGTAACCCTCGAGTACATCGGGGGTTTCACGATGGACGGGGTCGCGGCTGAAAGGAAGGGGCTGAAAAAAGGTGTGAATGCCGGATGGCATTCATTCAAATGCCGTCCAATCACAGCATCGTACTCCAGGTCGAGCAGCAGGGCCGGCATGCATCGGGAATTATTAAGTCCTCGCGATTCCCTGTTGCGTTAACGAGCCAAATTAACTCAAACCGAGAAGAAAAACCGTCTGCGGGATAAACTGGATAAATATTGTATTAATTATCGCTGCATTGCGTATGCTGTTAGCCACGCCGAAGTGGATGTTCTAAAAAGGAGCTTCATGCTTATAAGATAGAAATTGAAGACTATTTTAAAGATTGGTTTGGGAAAAGGATGAGCGAATGTGGAGTAAGGACTATTGTATTTGAGCGAGATTTCAACAAATCAAATAAAACAGAAACTGGAATGGAAAGTCGTGGCATTAAATCAAGTAGATCTGCTGATTTCCTGTGGATCAATTTTGTATAGTTAATTGCATTGTAATTTTCGTTGAATAGTACAAATTGGTTTAGAAGTGTAAACAAAGCAATGAACAGTATGTCGAACGGTATTTGTTAGAATAAGGATATTTCTGATAAAATATAAACAAAAAGCAGAGCCAGAAATGTGTGGTTATATTTGAATAGCAAAGTGTGTGTTGCATTGAAGAAAATAAAAATGAAAATTGAAGATAAGAATAAGGTACCATTTAACTTTCACTGAATCAAAATCTCTTTGAACTTTTATCAGTTTTACTTAAAATAACTCTTCTAAATGGAACAAAAGCTTGTAGGAATAAATAGAATAAAGATATAATCTTTCCTAGATTCTGCAGTTTCACTTAGACACCGCTCTGAAATTTATGAATCAAATAGAGAGGATCCGGCTCGACTTGCCGAGGCAACGTCTTTCTGCCGAGTGTTTTTGACACGAGGCGGTCTCTCCAATCGATCCAGGCTAGAATAGCCGAACCGGAAGTGGGACGTTTAGGCTCGATGGGAATGACAACGAAGAGAGAGCGACTTAACTTTGGATCACGACGGGGCCCTCTCGCTGTGAATCACTCGAACGAATTTCCTCGATAAGATAGCTAGCTCTCCTCCCAGCCGCCTATTCTTCCATGCGAGAATTACTTTCGTTCAACGAAGGAGAGGCGATTCTTCTACTTAAGAATTAATTGAAAGGGAAACGAATCGTCGACGTTGATCGAACGGGGATCTAGAAGACATCAGCTTCTTCCATGAACCATCCTGTTTCATCTCTTTCATAAGTTATTAAATAGATAAAAAAGAAGAACGTCAAGAGAAATTGCTATTATAATTTTGGTAGATTAATTTACGGTTATGTGTATTTCATCTGTTAGAATACTAGTAGGATTGTTCATACTTAAGATGTGGCCAAAATATTGGGTTCACACGTACTCGCGTAATTGTTTTCGTGGTATAAGTTCGAAAGAAGAATCTCTTCTTTTGAAGAGATGTAACGGATTCTGTGAGAAAAATTAAACGATACTTATACTTTTGTTAAATTCTGCGATACTGCAACTGCACAGATCTTTTTAAACGCTATCTTAAAGAACTGAATATTTAAATCATGAAAATAAGTAAAAATATAGAAATTTAATGGTCGAGCTATTTAATTTTATTAATATGTTCAGATCTACTGAACGAAGATCGACTAGCCTTGATATTTCCAAAAGAACTGCTATAATCTCGTATATAATTAATTTCTATAAAGAAATTCTAATTTAATCTAACGATGAAAAAATGTTTCGTTTAATTTTAATTTAATAATTGAAAATTACTGTGAATTAATATTAAAAGAACAATATAAGAGAAGATAAATTCTTTCTAGCAAAGAGAATCTTATTGATTCCACTTAATATTTCTAAATAGATTTCAAGTATCAATTTGGACAATAACTCACTAGGTCACAATTGGTGTGGTTAGAGGCATCACTGAAGCAGGATGAAGGTAGATCCCGTTTCACGTTCAGGTTTTCTGGTGTCTACGGTTGAAACTGATATACTCTGAGCTGAAAGACAAGTAACTTTCATCGATCTTGTTCGGTGATCCCGTCATCCCCCAGTGGCGAGGATCTCCCTCTCGTTTTTGCGTTTAATTGCTCGTCACGACGACGAGCGTCGAACCCGAATAAATTTGAAAGCTGTTCACGGGGAATTTTATTGAACGTCCGGCAGAAACTCTGCGACGATTCTCACCGTTATTAACGTATCCATTCTGGCCGCGTTTTACTCTCAAATTATAAGGAAATTAAGCAGTTGTTTCACTGAAATGGAAGAAAATATGTTGCAATCTGATAGAACAGTTTCCATCTCAACTAACATAACGTCAGAACAATTTTCATCCGAATCATTCTTACTGTTAAAAAAAAATCAATTTTCTAGAAAGAAGATTGTGACGAAGTTTAACTAAGTGTTACATCTGTTGGAGGTCACATTTTAAGAGACCAATTATTGTTATTGAGATATATATCGTTAAAATTGAATATTAATTGTAAATTATTATTATATGAATTATAGATAATTGTAGATCAAGAAGGGACTTGTGTATAATACGATGAAAATTTTGTTTAAAACGTTGAACCGTGCATCGAATAGAGATTAAAGTTATTCTTCCGTTTTTGGAAGGAGGGAGAACGTAGACAAAGGGGGATTTTCGTTATGAGCTGCTCAGTGGTCGTGGCTGGCACAAACCACTAGATTCCTCTTCATGTTAAGGTTCTGTATATTTTCAGTGACTTCTGTCAGAGAGTAGTATGACAATTGGCAGCTGATTGCGATCTTGCACCCCTGTTGGGAGGGAGAGGAGAAAAAATTAGCGACGGAGGAGGCAATCAACGTGTCTGTGAAGTAGCGTGGCCCTAGGTTTTGCGGCTGTATCGACCTAATAGTCCGTAGTTCGCAGCAGCTCGTAAAATACGGCGATTACACGACGTGATTTCGAGGAAAACCATAATAGCCGACCCTGACCGTCGAGAAATCGTCCCATCGGAACGAACAGTTCAGTAGATCCACCCTTTGCAATTTATCGATGCTGCAATTCGGCTCTCCGACCTATCCAACCTACAGAAACTGACGAATTTTCTAAAAGGTCCATATAAAACGTGTCTTGCTTGTCGAAATAATCAATTCATGGAAACATTAATAATTTACATCGGTGCATTTTGCAGATTTGAATGACATTTTTGTAAAGTGCGTAGATGAAGAATGGGAAGCTTTTTGCATTCTACTAATTTCTAATTCTAGTAACCTTGACAGACGAATATTATAGTATGATTACAATTATAGACAATTATAGACAGACTACAATTATAGTATGATTATTAATGATCATTTCCCATAAAAAATTGGAAGTGTATACTTTTGGAATATCAAAAAATGCAGGAAATGTTGTTCAAAGCTAGATAGATGATTATTTTCTGAATCGCTTATGCTAAATCTTTTGTTAGTTTATTATACTGTGAAAAAATTGCAGATCTCCAGATGTCGATATTGAAAATAAAAGACAAATAGTAAACTTTTCGCACCAAAGAGCCACAGGTGCAACAGTATCTCACAAAAACTCATTATAGAAAAATATCGTATGCTTCAGAAACTGCGAGGAAGAAATTTAAGAGGCATTCCATCGATCGCAGCATCCTGGAGAGCCTGGAAATACCGAGTACATCCGTTGGTGATAGAAAGCAGCGGACTAGGGGTGGGCTCTGCTTATCCTGGAGCCTCGATAAGCATCGTTTCGTATGAGGGACTATTTACAGCAAGGCAAGAAATTTAATAAAACTCGGAGAAGTCGTGGAAAACCGATGTAGCACTATGCATATGCTTCTCTGTCACTGTCGCCGTTCCTGTGGCCGGAAGAGTAGGAGAGAAGAAGAATTTCAACGTCTGCGTGCGGAGGGTTCGACAGCCTGAGAACTAGCAGAAGAAGCCAGGACTCGTCGTACAGTGGCACAGAATCAATTTACCAGCCGAATCTATATTTCAGTTTTTACGGGGACTTACTACGCCTTTGCTGTCTCCTGTCAACAACATTTTCCCAATCGTTCCCGTTAAATTTCATGAATACTATATTGTATTTATCAAATGGTATTTGTGCGGGAAGTAAATATTTAATTATTTTGGGAAGTGGTAAATCAGTTATGTCAAAGAATGTAGATGTAAATAGTAGGATTGCGTAGTAAAATTATTTGATAAATTATTAGGATGATTTTCTAAGTGCAGTTTGAATGATATGTAGGTTCATTAAATTATTATTTAATCAAAATAATTATCAATAGGCTGGGTATTTTTATGCATTTATGGGAAATTTAAAGCCATACAAATTTGTAAAATATTTAAAATAGGGTATTTGTTATGATATTTAATAAGTGAAACATAATTTATTCTATTATAAGTTATTCAAATACTTTTATGTGTCACTATGCACAAACCCAGTAACTCAGCATATTCTGTTGAAATATTTCGATAGATTTTATTAAAATATACTATCGTTATTTGTATTACGAACACGACTCGTGGCTCTCACGTTTGAACCATAATTTGCGACACAAGCCAACCTCGATGTAAGACAATGGCTTAAATGTGTTAGCCGAGGAGATCCAGTTAGATTAATTGATATTCAATACTAAATGCGTTTCCGTGCCACCCCATGAAATAATTCGAAGAATCGTTCAACATCGAGAACCTTAATTTCGTATTTCCATTAATTACTAGAGAAAAAATCCGAAAATCATATATCATATCCCAATGCAGAAAGAACCTGCGTATGCCTTTGTTTGAACAGACAGAACTGAATCGTTCGAAAAAAACAAAGAATCCGCAGAAAGCATTCAAATAACCTGTTGCATCGAGTCAGGCGAAAAAAAATCAAAAAGCCGCTCGGTCAACTGAGATCCAGAAGAATCAATAAACCTATTAAGTTCAACGAAATAACCATAGCCCATAGTCAAAGGCGACTAATCTACGTTACGATATGTCTTCTTTTCTGTATCTGACCAAAACTTTGTTTATTTGTGTCTTAAGTTCACTTTCGTTTCTTCCATCCTTTAAAGAAGGAAATTTCAAGCGGGATGAAATAATGAGAAGGAAAGAAAACTAATTGCGATTAATCATCTGTGGAACGATTTCTTTCCATCGCCTAACTAAAATGTAATTTGTTAATTTACAAATCGATGACCATTGACTTCCATTTTTCAGAAATATAAAGTCCAAATTAATATCAAAATAAAATTTGAAGAGATAATGAAGAAATGAAAAGTAGTTGCGAATAAGTGCCCATTTTTATTGACTTCCATTTTCTAGAAAATAAAATTCTAAGCAAAATAAAAGCAATAAATAAATAAAATGAGATTATTTTCCCACGGAACGCCTTAGAAAATTCCCGCACACAGATTCATTTTCATTAATTTCCATCTTGCAAAAGAGAAAAAGGCAAACGAAATTAATTGGAAGAGTAGACTACTAATTGCTTAGGAAATGTCCTCTTTCCAATATTTAACAAAAGTCCTATATCTTAAGCCTGTCCACATTGATTACAAATCCCCAAAAACGAAAAATTTCATTTGAATGAAATAAAAAAGAAAGGATAAAAGGAAAAAGGAGACTAATCTCGATTAATCGCCTACTAACAAAAGCCTTCTAATCAAAATTACACTTTTCCATCCACAAGTCCATCTTCATTGACTCCTAATCTTCAAAAGAGAAGTTCCCAAACGAACCAAAGTAGAATAAAAGAAAACGAAATGAATAAAGAGAACTGAAAAGAAACTCAAAAACTGACTTCGGTCCGGCGGAAAAATTGATTCAGCGTAGTCTGGAGGGCCACGGCGAATACGCGAGAAGAAGAGCCGGGGGCGCGTGTGCGCAGTTCCCTCGACCAACATGTCCGCCCGGGTACTCTAGGTAGTCGTGGTTATGCGGCGCGGTGCGTTGCACACCGTCGTCAGGCGAATCCTCGGTTTTCCGTGCTGCGTCCGCGAGACACGCGTGTCCCTTCTATGACCGGCTAAAGGGCCAGGATCGCTGAGTCGTCGCCTCCTGGTGATTGTGGCTGGCTCTGGTACGAGTTCACCAAGGGTAGTGCACGAGGTTCCGAGCAGCTGCGGGGAGGCTGGAGCCGCGACACGGACAGTCAGAGTGCTGCTCGAGAGTGGAGAATCGCGGGAGAGCCAGGGAGAGACAGGGAGAGACAGAGGCTTACTGGAGGTGAAACACAAGCGGGCAAGAGAGGGAGAAGCTTGAGGCAGGCGCGCGTATTGATTCCCGCGTGGCGTTTATACGGTGAGGTGAGAAAGCTGCAACCGGAAGACTTGTGCCCGCTTCCTTCTTGTTCGCTGAAAAAGTCGAAGGAAAGGCGGACTGGGCCAACCACATTGGGTTCCTGGCTCTGAAGCTGCTCGTCCTTCGGTTACTAGAAAGGTACGTTGCACCAATGGACAAACCGGACGGACTCTGGCTGGTCACTTTGATTCATTCAGTAGAGAGCTGTTTAAGAGAGAGAGTCGGCAACACGCGCGTCTTCCTTGAGGAGAGAGAGAGGAAAGAGGGTAGTCAGTGTTTATGTGTACGTGTGGCTGTATGTTAGTACGAGTCGAGGGAGGGTCGGTTGAAGGCACTCTCGAAAAAGGGTATATCGATCCGCTGGTCCGGGACCATTGGCTCTGGCACGCCACCACGAAATCGTGCTTCACCCGACCCTTCTTTCCTTTCTTCACCCTTTCTTCGCCGTGTTTCTATGTTCTTTCCACTCGTTCTATACTACTGTACGGTATCTCTATTACCTACTTTTCTTATTTATTCTTTATACTCTTCTTTTATATCTGTTCTTGCTCGTTCAGTATATATTTTGTGTTTTATCTCTTTTCGAGGTTAGCGAGTATATGTTTTATTATTTTGCTTCCTCTTTTATGACTTTAGATGAAGGGTACGTAGTTGGTTGCTGTCATTATTCAAAGGATAGTGGCAGGTGTTACTTGATTGATGTAAGGAACACAGTGAGCAAGATCCTGGCTGCTGCGATGCTCTTGTTACTCTCGCCCTTAAACGTATCCCTTATCGATCCAGGCCCGGCTACATTGCCGTACGATCCGAAATTGCGCTCCACGAGCTTCTTCTGCGTCCATTGCCACCTTATCGACCCTACTGGCATCTATTTTTCACAGTCGGAATCGCTTCGTTTTGCTCCTCACCGTACCACTTCTTAATATTCTGCGTCTTTAACTACTTTAACTACACATATTGTTTCAATTAATTGGACGATCGCCTGTTTTCAGCCGAAATCTGCATGTAGAATGTGTTGGAAGATTATCGCGACATTTTAAAGAAGAGAAGAGAGCGATAGCGTTTTTGGAGGCTACTTTTTATATCGTGACTTCTAACCGGCTATTACACGAGGAAAATCCATAATTAGAATAACGACACCCTTAGGGCGAGACGCGGGGGAGCGTATAAATAGCTTTACTATCCTCCTTCTATAACTTTCTTTGAAGATAATGGGATCATTAAACCGGTACACCTATCTCCGCTCTAAGAAGAATATAAAAATTCCAACGCTACTCGTGCTGGATGCAGAACCGAACTTTCACAATATTCTTCGCCTTCTTTCTTTCTTCTTCTTGTTGAAGAGAAGAAGAAATTCCAAGATGGTGCACAATTGTAGTATCTTCCCCCAAGTGGTTTGTCTTAGTTGGTCAGTCAGGCTTGGTCTGTCCGTTTCTATATTTCCATTTGCTAGTTTTGCGCTTCTTCATTGCCACTGGAGGCTCTTCTTCTCTCTTCTGTATCGATAGAACATGAAACGGAAAGCGGAATCGAGGAACGAAGTTCAGGAGAACCAGTTGAATGTCGCTGATTCTTTGCTCGAGTATAATAGCATCGACTGTAGCTTGTAACAACTCTGATGCATATCAGCACTCAAAACAATGTTTTATTACATGAAGAATTTCTTGAGAATTGTATAGTCATTAAGAAATATATTCATATTTGATGATATATATATTTTCTTTTTCTGAGAGAGCTTTCTTCTTTTCACAGTTTTGACTTGTTTGATGAAAGAAACTACGTTTATGTGGAATGACCGTAAACGTGTATTCATTCTGAAGCAGAGTTCCGCATCGTGCCTTTGTTTATTCATGTCGCTGCACTCTGGCTCAAAATAAATAATGAATGAAGCAAGTAACGGTAAAGGGGGAACTGTATGCGAAGAAGTTCCAAATATCATCCCGCGCAACTCTTAAATGATATTAAACTTTGAGTAGAAGATTGTC